GAAGACAGGCATGACAATATGTAGGTAAGTACCTGTGTGGTAAAAGGGTCAACGAAAATTTCCACTTCATAAAATTTTCTTAACACATAATTAGTTAATAACTACCTGCCCTAAAAACCTTAGAAACATGCCTAATTTTATCACCAAATGAATAAGTATTTATACATTTTTCGATTCTCGAAACTCCTATGCTCGCTCGTGTAAAGTTAAAAAATATCACTTATCAAATAAATAAATAATTATAATTCAAAGAGTCAAATTAATAAAAAATCTTCTATCTTGGAGTTCGATCAGACCTAATTCACTCGATGTATTAAGTATTCACCACAACACGAAAATTTAAAATTACAGAATAAAAATAATGCGTACCTAATTCCAAACTTCTTAGTATTTTTATCAAGTTACAGTAGCACGCACTTCACCATGATTCTAAATAACTTGCTACACTCATAATAATATCCAGAAGTAAGCTTTTGTTTTAATCCTGATTAAAACTCAAAATTTATTTGTTATTTTCTATAAGTTTAGTACATACAATCTTGATATATCAAGTAAGTTACCATTAAACTTACAAGCAAAAGTTTACCAACACTCAAACTCGAGAAAGCGGCTGTTATTAAAAGTATTCAAAGGACTCCGTAGTACGGTTCTTTATTGGGTCAATAAGCCAGTGAAATAGGTGCAGTAGGACTCGGGTGGGGACCAAGGCGTCTTGCATACACTTGAAACATACCGTTCGCACTCATTTTAATACCATTATTTTTTGCAATATAGGGTCAAGCATTTTTGTAATTTTCTTATAACATGTCAGAAATGAGTATCCGCCAAACAACCCTTTACTTACATCGTCCACAAATAGCAGCATGGACATCATGCAATGACGATTCAAATCAATATTACAAACTGGAACGATTTTACGTCCAATAGATGTAAGCAAATTTCGCAACGTCCCTTTCCCAACCTGTTCCATTTCCTATGTCTGCATAATAGATAAACTTATATACGTATGTAAATAAGTACTCCACAGGCTATAGTATGGACCCCCGATATATAGTTTAAAGCTATAGTTATACATTGGCTTGACAATACTAGCCTCCCCCATACCAGGATATTTTACTTTCTCTGGACGAAGCCCCTTAGGCGCGTCCTGAACGCCACCCCCTGCCCCCTCCGCCACCCACCGCCCCCAACCCCCTCACGCATAGTACACCATACAGAGAGCGAACTAACTCTGCTGCCAGCCTCTATAAACTCGTTCATACGTGTTCCTGTATAGATAGGTACTTATTTAAATACGCAATTTGGAGCCCACCTATACATACTATATTCAGATATGTACCTACTGAGCTTTAAATCAATTTGGCGTGTAATTTTATTTGGTTTAAGCTGATTTAATTAGAACGGACGTTGGTTGTGGAGTTAGTAATTGTTTCGATGGTAACTACGTTGTGTTTTTGTTCCTAACACTAGGATCTCAATAGCTATACTTAGGTTTATTTTGTTCCTTAAGCCGGCTAAACAATAAATTAACAAACATACTTACCTATTAACTTGTTAAGTACCTACTTTCGGTAAGCCAACTTTTAATGGCAACGAATTTCTTGTAAAATAAATTTGACGAAAAAAAGTTTTCGTTTTTCCTTCACTACACTTTCGAAGGCTAGGTGGTTTGATTAAAAAACCGAGAATTCTACTTGCTCACGTAATGTGAAGAGGGGATAAAATAGGGGTAAGCGTAAGTCGTCCCTCCGCACTACGGACTACGGATGCTTCGTGCGTACCTATGTAGTTGTGATTTTAGATATTTTGTTGCAGATTCGTTCGATTCATTTTGGCGATATTTTGTAGGTGTGAGTGACTTTTGAGTAAGAAAATATTCGGTGGATACTAACTAACGTGACATATAATTTTTACTTAAAACTTCCAAGTTGCTGAAATTACACATTCTTATGTTTTCTTCAATATGTAAAGTAACTTTAATATGTAAAGTAAAAAGTATGTCCGCCAGGGGAGTGATAAAACAGAATCTTAGATTTTTGATTACCTCGAATTCGAACTCTATGTAAAAGGGGGCCTACTTTTGAGGGTTAAAAAAGTTTAGTAGCCGTAAGCGTGACTGCTGGGCACAAAGTTTCAGGTTCGATTCCAAATCATTCGTTGGTACGAGTGCGTTGGCGTTAACGAGCATGAAAGAAAATTCCAATTCCTTTTTAGCAGATTCACATCCGCATACATTGCATTTACAAACACGTTCACATACATACGCACATAGGCCTGGTTCAACATTTAGTACCTAATGTGAAAATAGTCATTTTGAGCACAGAATTGATAAGTTACCCAATTTTATATTTTTGTAAGTGAATGCAGTTTTTTGTGAGGGGAATATCATGAACTGATACTCTTCTCTCGCCAAGGCTGAGGCGAGAAGGAGTACTAACTTCTTACATTTCTTCTCCTGATCCAAGTTGAGGCCGCAGTACCATATTGCGCCAAATTCGTATGGACGATTTTTACTACACCAGCCCCTGTTGTGCTTCTACTGAATACTGACTATGAAATTCGACAAAGAACTGACAGCAACTCACATATTACTTATAAACCACAACCTATTAAATGAATACCTATTTCCGACCTACCGGATCAGCGTAAAGATTAAGACAGATACATCTTATGTAGAGCAGAAGACCTAACAATAGAGACAAATGAGATAAATTCATTTTTTTTCCAATGTCAGAAACGATACCTACGTACTTATTATATCTCTGAATTTTCTATGTCAGATCACTTTCAATGAGACCGTGACGTCTTATTCTTTTGCATCATTATCATACTTATTTCGCCTTGATTATGTCAAAAAAAATAACTTGTTACTGGAATACCTACTCTAGTCCTAAATATTACCATTATACATCCATAATAAAAATACACGAGTGATTTCAAACTATGTTCTACTAATAACAATTCTGTAGGTATACCGGAGGTAAAGTACCTATCCTAAGTCCTTTATTTAATTAATCCAGTATAAGTATTTTTTTTTTTGTAATAAAAAAGTAATTATTTGCGTACTTTTAAACAACAAATAACATTAAATTTTCACAATATTAGTAGTCAAATGGCATACGGTTACTGTCTACTGAATAATTTGATAAAGCTAGCTTAGTGTGCCTTACGATACTTTACCTCCGATATCCAGAATTGAAATCACGTTTTTCCAACATGGAAATTGAACCAGAGACCCCTTTCTGTATGATCGCAGTTTTGTGTTGAGTCAAACATGCTCTACAGGACTGGTCCCTCTACAAATTGCGAGGCACTCGTCTCACCCTATACGAAGTAGTGCAGGCAATGGCTAATAGATGGCGCAATAATACAAATACAAATGAAAATATATTAAAACCTTTTAACAAAAACAAAACGTTATCCTTGTCGGAAATTTTCTGCAGTGTCGTGGAAGAAACACAATTTCTGGATCAAACAATGGAACGAAGTGTTTATATAATTCTTGCAAACGAGGTGTTGTTTCGCGCGGGATCGAACCCTTGTCACATTCTGACAGCAGTTAGTTGCCCAACCACTGTGCCAACCGTGCAGTCAAACCTTTCTTGTAAATGCAAACTTTGTTTAGATACCTATTGTTAATAAATAGCTCGTAAAACTGTTCATTAAAAGTGCATTCATATCAAACTGATATTATGTATAGTAGGTACTTTTAGGTACTTCAAAACTGATCACATTGAGCAGTTGGCTATCTCGATACCAATTACGATGAGGTGTCATCGACGCCTTGGACGCTGCCTGTTCCATTTAGGTCTTCAAGTCAAGTAAGTTATCCTTTCCTACCTCCAACAACATAGGTGATAGATAGACATTAAATAGATTCCTGAGCGAACCATTAACCCGACGGATACTCCCATTGGCTTAATGATCGTTAACACGTTAGCCAGGCGCAGTTTCCCAAACATTTCCCAGCACGGGCCATTAAATTATTACGTAATTAATTGGTTTACTCCGTCGATACTAAAAATAACTTAACACTTCTAATCACCTTCACTTATTCGCAGTTTTCTATCGCGTTTTTGCATTAGCCTACGTACTTAATACTGTATTGAGTACCTACTACTGTTTTTTTGAGAAATAATCATCAGTGTACGCCTCTCGCAACATACTCACTAGAAACTTCCCCATTCCTTCTCCTGCTCTAGGCCAAGGCCGTGGTACATTTTTGCTTGAGATGTTTATACCTGCAACCTAGATGTAGTACCAGAACTGACTTGGCTATTCAATTCTTAGCCAATAAATAAGTCTATTTTAATTACAAAATAGACTTTTTACGACTATGAAAGGTTTCATAGTCGTAAAAAGTCAAGAGATAACAGATATCAAGAGTTCCCATAATAATTATGACAAGACAGACATAGAATTGGAAATTAAAGATTTTTTTCTGAATCCATTAGGAAGCAATTAGTACGACTTGGAGTCTCGCCCTAGCCTTCATGGCAGTGCCGAATATATTATTTAAGATAGAACTGTATACGCAGAGTTAAAATTATATTTATTAGGTGATATTATAAATTCCGTTAGCTACATATAGATACTTTTCTGATAACCTGTATCACGTTATATCGTAAGATACCTAGGTTTATAGCAACTGTTTATAAGAGATTCCATAAACTCGTAAATTAAATTCAAAATCTGCATCGAATCAAACGGCTTGTTTTCTGGGAACATTGTACATACACATTAAATTACATAAGAATTCTACCTGAGTACAGTAGCGCGCTTGGGTTAGTAGGTAATGAGATTGGTCCTGTGCACATAAAGTGTATAATTATTAAACAGAAATATTATGTAAAATTAGTTCTACTGGGGTATATACAGAGTTACGTGATGCACCAAAGAATGAAGTCAATTTTAAATAATTAATTTATTTGAACACCAAACAGGATTACAATAAATTTAATAATACATTTATAATATTAAACAGCATTATAAACGGTTAGCTGAAACGTTTAGGATACGATCACTACAAGGTAGGGAAATGAAACGTCATTTGAGAGGAGAAAGATTTAATAAATAGATATAATAATTTTAATCTAAAACAGATTATCAGAACTAGAAGGTCAATTGTAAAGAAAATGATGTAAGGAATCACAAATTGACTACACAGAACAATGAATTGCCGAGACAAAATGTATTCTTTAAGTTTACAAGCAACGTTTGCGTTAGAGCCAAATATTCATAGTCAAGTTGACGCTGTACTCAACATTTAGTTGCATTGTGTACAAACGTCAAAGAGCAGGGTGCTATTAGTGAATCAAACATGTATGTGATTATCTTAAATGCCGATCATACACTGGGATTGCTCAAGAAGCCGACATGTGTATCTACTCAAAGTGTGTGAATATCCAACACTGAGAACATGCTGTTTCCAAGCGATTTGATATGTAATGCACAACAATTACATAGTTAGTGGTAACACACCAACTAATTACATGTCGGAGTAAATGCCGACTGTCAAGGTACCTTCAGTTACGACTTAGGTACTACCTCTCTTGTACATATTGGTCCTTGCAGCATTTCGAGAGCTGTTTGGTGTCAGCGGGGTGGGCGCGGCTCGATCTATAATCTATGATCACTTTAGTAATGACGAAATGCCTCGATTTTGTCAGTGAGGCAATAACTTTACTGTCAAGAGATTTTATTGAGTTTAACACCATGCCAATTAGGTTTTAGAATGTTTGCTAGACACGTGAGAATCGATCGCCGGCCCCCAACACACACCCTTCTCGAGTCAATAGCACCCTGGGTTTAGATAATATTATAATCTCTAAGTTACAATACATCTTTACGTATTAAATAATAACTTCATATTCTAAACACAGTAGGTATTAGTTTATTGATACTTACACAAAAATTAAAATATTAGACTTGTAGCATTAGTTTAGTGCAAGATAATGATAATATTTATGTTAAGCTTTGTACCTACCATGAGAATACCAACACTTGTACGTTCTTTCGACACTTGTCTGCACTCATAACCCTTTCTTACCCATCACGTGATAATTGGTGCAATGGATAGTATTAGTGGAGTAAATTTTTAGCCAAACTCGATCAAAAAGCGAAAAGTTGATAAAATCGTGCAAAAGCTGCCGGTTATTCGAACGAAGTCGATGCAACAGCTCGACTTGTATCGAATAATTTCAAACACCAGATCTTTGACAGTACATCTCACACATAAACTATCGCTACACATTTCGTAACAATCCTTTTATTTCAGAGGACATTTTATGCACCATAGATTACAAGTGATATATATCATAGTGTGAACAACTCAAAAAGGCGACAAGCATTTGAGGAAGAGCAAAACATACGTAATTAGATGTTAGAAGGAAATTATAATTTTATAATACATAAAACCCGCTATAGCGCCGCTAAAGTAAACTAAAAATGTATTCAAAGCATTCTAGATCGTAATGTATGTATAAATTAGCACCCATTTAATGCTAGCAATAAACTAGAGCGGTGCTAAATCGTCTAAGGTATGTTGTGAACTATCAGGAATAAAACCTGAACTAAATGACTTTTAATTAAATTGAAGTATAACTACGTTCCGTAGTTCAGTCGTCTACTGCTTAAAATACTGGAAGACCATAAAACAATCGTCAGCGGAATTCAGAAAATCAGCTATAATGACTAGGACGCGGGGCTTATAGCGCATTGAACTGAATCCTATCTAATATTGGGTATACAACCTATCTATCTAAGGTCATTTGTATCAGGTGATTTGCCCACATGCTGCAAGGTTGCTTATAATACATATTGTTTATATTTGTCAATCATGTCAGCTACTCGATTTTTAGAGAGCAAGGCAATCACCGCTCAGTCAGATTCTGTCGATACAACCATTGCATTTTGTTGTGATGTTTGAACATACAAATATTATAATTTTAAAGCTAATGTGCAGCAAACCACCTCATCATGAATGTCTAAAGCAAATTCAGACCGAAATTATGAAACTGATTATAGAATCAACTGCACAGTCAGGAAGTATGTAGAGAAGACGAGAAAATGCATAGAAACGTCTGGTGTCTGAGTGGAGAAACAAAGAATATTATAAATAACTCTTATAAACATCTATTTGCTAAATTCTAATTCAAAATACAACGTTAATTCCATTTTAAACACTTAGAATAAAAGGCTTCATTCAGGATGATGTACATACCGTTCATGTTTAGAATTTAATTATCTTATTACCAAAAATGACACAGATATAAAATTCGACCGAACACCTAATAATCTGTACACAATCAAAAAATTATATATTAAAAATATTATTTTCTTTTATTTGTCCAGGTTCGATATATTTTACGGATCTTTTACACTACGACACTTAATTGAACATCGATTTTATATAACAGATATGTAAACTTACTGAGAATATAAAAGTACACGACACTATAATATTTGTAAAGTTTCAGACACTGTTTCATATAATATTATAGAAGACTTTAGGATATAACATGTAATCGGTGTAGTGTAAGTCAACATGGTACATTTGACGTAATATAAAATAAACTCTACGTATAGTGTTGAACGACAAACAGTAAATACTATATAATATATTGTATAATATAAAATATGTTATAATACATCATAAGCACTGGCGAATTGGTGAATATATTCATGTGAAAAGGTACGAACACACGAACACTCAAAGGGTTCCAATATGTCATCAATTCCACAATAAATACACATTAATAACAATAATATATTGATACGTACATTATGCTGTTGTTGTGCGAAAACAAAATAATTGTGCATTTGATTCGATATTCCGTTCAATAAACTAGCTAGCTACAGAAGCAAAATAAAATGTCGGTCAAACAAACTTGCATTGTATAATATATAAAATGAGAATTGATGCGTCATACAACTACTTAAATAAATAATAAACAAGCGTGTACACGTTAGTGTTAGTTGTGTTTTAGTAAAACAAATAATACTACAGTCAAACATATGCGTTAGTCAAATGGCGATACATTGCAAAAATCAAATTATATAAAAGAAAAATACAAATAATTATACATTATGTATTGTGTGGCTCACTACATGTATGTAGTTATTATAACAAAGCGCACGACGCACACTGCCGCTACAAATATGTATAAAGAATACTGTTTAACCACTGATATTCGAACTGAGATTATGGCCATCTTAAGCCTCGAGATATTCAAGCAAACATCGACTGTTGTTATAAAAACTACATAGACAATTAAGAACAAAATTGCACAAATTGCATTCATTTCAAAATCATTACCTCAACTAATGTGATACAGGGGCAGAGAGCAAGTGCTAATCTAAAAACACGTTTCTTAGATTAGCGCTTGCTTAACATTTAAATTCATATAATCATTTGTGATGCGTGATAAATATTTTAAATCATTTTAATATGTATTTGAATATGTATTCCTATCATAATATTACAGATCCATAACTACGAATAAATGTATACCAATAATGCGTTAATATTGGGCATATTATTTCAGACGATTTGCTCCACCGCTGAGATTTGACATGACAAAAGATAATTCTGTCTGGAAGACGAGGTTTCACAATCAGTAGGGGTACCCATGTTGCAGGTACAACGGCGTATGCTGGTATTATGTTGGCTTGCCTGAAGCGCAGGACGAATCAATTGCGCACGCAATCCGCAAAGGTTTCTACCTTAGAGGACTATATTGCTTTCACTTGTAATTAGAACGAAGCCAACAATGCGTGGACATGTAATCCATTAGTATATTCAGTCTGGTATATTGCTTATTCTCAATATTCTCTTTTACTTCTACATATTACATTATACAACATTCAACATAAAGGCGGTATCCCAGCGGCGGAGCGTTCGTCTGCAGATGCTCTGACTGCGCAAACAAATTAGTTATTTCAGTCGAAGCGTCACCGAGCTTTTGGTTCTGGGCTTTCGTAGAAAGACCGCAGCTAACGGGGGCGGAGCCTCTAATATATATCTACTATTATATCATAACAAGTAATAGCAGTCTTGCCACAATACCTTCATCAATAGATTCCTCTTGAACAGAATACAATATTTCCTATATTTTAATGTAAACATTGTGATTGCTACAAAGTTTCAAACATACGATTGCTTATTTATCTCAACCTCATGCAACACAAGCATGGGCTGCCCACTTACTTGGTTACATGACAGAGACACAAACGCCCCTGACGTTGCCCTTAAAAATGCGAATAAAAAGATATTTATCTACACTTCATTTTGCTTTAAAGTAATTGAATAATACTTAGGCTGACTCGGGACAATAGTTATGAATTTTCATATTTCTTCATTCATTAAAACTAAACCTTAATAATATCAGCTACGCGAATAAACCAGCATGAATATTCATTATAATATAAATTAATAATAACTGTATATTATCGTACTTGTCTGTGTCGATTGTTGCGTAAATGTCTTCCTAAAATTGTGCTATAAAACGCTGTCTTTTCAATGCTAGCATGGTTGCTCACTAAAAAATAAAATAATTAGATTTAGAATATTTTAAGGCATGCATTATATCTGCACAAACAGGTGCAAATATGAGAAAACATACTCGGATAGGCCACCACTTTATTGCTCGCTAACAAACGATAGAAGCCACAATCATTGCATTGAAGGACCTTTTGTGTTTAACGTTTAATTAGTGATCGTAGTATATATTCTCAGATCGGCAACTGACTATCATTCCCCACAAGTTATCAGGCCAAGATAAGCGTCATCATATGCACTAGCAGTGAGAAGACAGCCGTACAACCTTACTGCCAAACGCTATGCGACGTAGCTGCTAACGTACAGGGCTTGTATCCTGTCCTAAGGCCACATTCGCGCTCAACCCAAACTAATTACATCTACATAATCAATGTCATTGATGCGCAATAACAACAGCGTTTAACTAATACAAATTTAAACATTAAATACTGTGTTTTCTGTGCCCTGCGCGAAACCAGCTACTCTCGCATTATACTCTCAAGGTTTGACTCAAGAACGTCAAAGTATTTTTAACAAACATCAGTTATCTACATCGTTTTTCAACTAGATACGGTTATGATACATTCTCTGTCAAATAATACTTTAGAATATTGTTAACAGATGTACTTAAAGACATATTTTAATTTCAAATATAAAGTCAATTGTGGCATTTAAAGTTAAATTGAATCATTAAGATTTAATAAAATCCGAAAATTTCATATTACACCCACGTTGTGATTATTGCAACATTCAATAATTGTAGATATAATAAATTATTTTCGATAATATAGGGAGATATTTGGATAAAAATTTATACGCGATATAAGCGGGCAAGTGAGATATGGAGATGCGTTTTATGCTATATTTCGATTTAATTTCGATATCGCTTGTAATGATATTCTGTTATTTTTATAAATACCTATATAACATCTGTATCCAGCCAAGGAATATTACCTAGGCAATGTTCCTTGGATAATAGAATGTTCCTGTACACAGACAGATAGCAACATTGTACTGCTAATATTTTTTAGAGAATGGGGAGGGAGCGCTAAGTAATGCTATGCAAGTAGCTACACCGAGGTGTCGCCGCCAGTTCTCCGTTCAGACAGAACGTGAGGAGCCCGACATTAGTAGTCCCTCGCGAGCCCGCTTATACGAAAAAGCCGCAAAACGTTTGTGGGCAGATAATGTGTTTTAACCTAACTAGTATTAATGGGAAAAATCTTTGAACACTATACACATTACAGTCGCACATAACTTGTCCTGCTGTTTGGTTGTTGTAGCAATAGAAATATTAAACCCTTCAAGGTCATCCAATATATTCACTGTCGTTTAGTGTGGTCGTGACGTTGCTTTGCCTCGATTAATTACTGACTTTGTAAATAGATCGTTATCCTACTACATCATATAAAATATTCGTGATTTCTTCATAGACCTATCTTACCATAATATATGCTACTATCTTTGGAATTATTGCTGCGTTCCTTCGATTTGTTCATACTTATAAGCATCCCTTCTCTTTAAAAAGATGCTATATAAATAGTATAATTTATTTCAACTTTTACTCTAATTTTTGTACTAATGTTCTACTCTGCTTTTGTAAATACATATTTATATCTCATTTAATAAGTCGTACTTTCTGTAAATTTCTTGTCACAACCATGGCGGGATAATAAGGTACTCTGTCATAAGTATACGTCCTCAATATCCCAATTTGTAATGTCTCAACATTGGATCTTCATTTATGTGTTTTTCGTTCCTATTAAGTTGGGTGTGAACAAGAATCACAGAGTATATCTATTTATATTTTAACAAACTCTAATACTATTATTATATTTGAAATTTATAATAATAGTGAGAGGATAGAACAGCCAAGCAACAGGACAACAAACTGATTTAATGTGTAACCAACGCTTTACGACGCGCACTAGCTCTTACAAGCATTGTAATAAGGGTGATATTTTACAACAGTTTTATATAAGTGTGGATAAACTGAGTGGTACTCATTGAGTACTAAGATTAACATTTAAGGTATCACTGTGATTGTGGGTCGCACTGCAGCAGCCGTACGATGGACGGGTCGCTCTTGGCGCCCTCTATGAACTCTTCGAGGGAAAGTTTCCCGTCTTTGTTTCTGTCCATTTGTCGGAATATTTTGTCGGTTCGCTTCTCTGGCGTCGACTCGTCCTCGGGCATCTTCATAACAGACCCGACCATTTTGTAAATTGCCTGCAATTGATAATTTGACTTAATTAGCGGTGTGGGCAAATTGAATTGAAGTCATTTAAGTATTGGCGAAACAATGTCTAGAATACCGTAACTGACCAATGAAGCTTAGGAGTGTGTCGAACGGTCTTCATGCTAAGTAGACTAATTTGGTCGATACCAAATATGTAATATCATTATATAGAAACATGAAATCGAAACTAAATTATTAACGACTTGATAAGTAACCTTACAATTTTCTTTTATTTTCTGCATCAGCAAGAAAATAGTTGCTGCCTATTGCTCACAGTCAAATTGCTTCATCGATTTGCGGGAAATTGTACCAAAATAAAATAATATGTACATAATAATAAAGGGCATTTGGTTCCGGCCCTTCGTGCTCTTCTCAAATGACTGGGATCCTGCAGTCCCGTGATTGGTAAAGATGTACATTATAATAATAACCAATAAATAAATAATAGTCTTTAGTTTCATTCTACTCTTCTCTATGCAAAATTCTCTATGAAAATTAAAATTCCCATAGAGTGCCGGACAAATAGAGCCCTCCCTTCACATATTTAAAGGATTAATCTGATCCACGGAATAGAAAATACAGTGGAAGTGCCACTCAGACATCGGGCGCTAATCAACATGATGTATAGATTTTCAACATTTTGGGACATTCGCTGTCAGAATCGTTCGCTCCGTTGTCATGATCGGTTGTCATGGTTGTCTTTAAGAAACACGAAATATATTAGAAATTATGCCTTGTTGTGCGGTTTTCAACTGCAAAAAAGTAAGCAGAAAAAAAATGTGTATTTTGGTGGTGTATCGTATCATCGTTGAGTTCGACGAAGAAGAGTTCGACGACGACGAAGGAGAGTTTCGACGCAACTCATTTAGGGATGAGACACCTTCGTAAATTAGGTTTGTATCGAGAATTTTTCATCATCATCGTTCAGAATATTGATTTTTGACAATTTTTGAGTATAATTCATAAATGTTTAGCTAAGATTGCATAGACACATCAACGTTTTAATCACACACAGCGTGCATCCGTCTGTGCTAGGTGCGGATGATTAATCACCATTTTTATTTTATAATGTTGTACTTGATTTTTAACAGAGTTGCAAAAAGGAGAGTGACTCTCAATTTGACCGTACATGTTTTTTTTGTTCGTTCGTCTCCGTTATTTATGAACCGATTTTAATAATTCTATTTTTGTTAAATAAACTTGTAGGAGCGCGTAGTGCTATAATAATATGTTAAAATCGAAATCTTTAATAATAACTTGACCATCTCCAAAAACGTTAAATCTTTTTTTTCTATTAGAAACTTTTTCGTTACTGATCATTTCTAGGTATATCGTGTCGATAAATTATATTGCTCACACGAATACAATAAATAATATCGATATATTGGGATACCCTGCCCTATCTGAGTAGCAAAATAGTAATGTCAATTGGTACAAGTGCATGCAAATATGACATCTATTTCAAAGAGGTTAGCGTTTTGAATAAAATGAATTTGTTACATCGCCATCTAGCATTGAGTGGCTGAACCCGTTTGTAAATAGTTTTATTTAAGTTTTCTACACGATAGATGCCCTTATTGATTGTGACATGTGAAATGATAACAACTTTCGCTCATTGTTATAAGACTCAATTTTTAACAACATTTAGAAGATGATTTGCTAAAGTTGCGTTGCAACTTTTTACCCAATTATATAGTATTTTTTATGTGTGTAATGGACAATTTGATTTGCGAATGTGTGATTTTGGCGACACTGGTTTTCCTTTTGAAAGAGCGTAGGGGCGCTTCTACTTAATTTTCTGTTCTGTGATCTGATCCCTCATATTTTCCAAGCTGCTTGGAAATCGTAGTTAGGTAAGTATCAATTTAAAGAATGCCGTTACCTACCCTCTGCTATTAATAACAGATCCAATTCGAGTATAGAATAATACAATTGCACTACATAAATATAACTTGATTAACTTAGTACAATCGATGGCCTTGCAACGTGTATAAAGTACACGAATGAAAACGAAGTACCAATTGGCTTTGACCTTACTCAACTAACAACCTGAACAACTTTAGAAACCACTTCTAATAACGAACGTGAAACTGAAACAGAAAAGTTATTTTTTCTATTTATACACATACTAGCTACTCTCACGCGGTTTCACCCACTGCTCAGCTGCATTTGATCGTAGCGTGATGTTTTATACATTACAGCTTACATTGTAGCTATCTACCACCACCAGTGGACCAGCGGTTCCAAAGATTACCCCCTACATACAAACTTACAAATTTTACCTCTTTATAATATTAGTACAGATTGTATGTGTGTCACATCAGCCTATACCTAAAGGGAGTAAATGTCCTTATGACTTTCTACAAAAAGATAGCCGTACCGCGTTGTGACACAAAATAGAATGATTTCGTCGACCCTTCTACTCGAATTGACAAATTGAAACGAGTTATGTTGTGAAAAAAATACTTACAGTGACAATTTCGAGCATCTCCTGCCGGGAGATGTACCCGTTGCCATCAAGGTCATACATGGAGAATGCCCACTTGAGTTTCTGTTCAAGCTTGCCGCGTGACGTCACGCTCAGCGCACACAGAAACTCCCGAAAGTCTATCGTGCCGTCTCCATTAGCATCAAATGTCCGGAACACATGCTCCGCGAACTGAAATAGTTATATTATTGTTTTTTTAATTTATTCATTTTCAAAGTTCTCATATTCTGGTAATAACCTGAATAAATGAATTCCAAGTTGTCACGAGAATATGGCATAGATACTGTTTTTTATCTAGAGATTGTGTATCCTAACGTTTGCTTAAGTATTTTAGAAGATTATCACATAAAAAAATTGTTGTGTGAAAATTGTAAAACCTAAAACTTAAAAAAAATGTCGTCCCCCTTTAGCATCATGTCGTAGGTACGTCAATAATTAATAGTATTTCCGTATATTTATTAAGACTCCTTATACTCGTATACAGAGTAAAAACACAAAAAAATCATCGATTACCTTACTAGCGTCGCCATACGGAAAAAAGTTCCCGTATATTTTCTTAAATTCTTCTACAGACAAATGTCCACTGGGGCAATCTTTAAGGAAGCCTTTGTACCATTCTTGTATCTCAGCATCTGAAAAAGGTTGCATGACAAAATTAACTAAACATATTATTAGTATGAGGCTAAGTAAGTCAGGGGTAATTGAACAAACACATAAGCATCAGTAAAATCGACGTTGCAGCATAGCATCCTGGAAGGACGCTTTTATGCATGGTGACATGCAATACTTTTAACACATCAGTAGTAATCTATGACTGAAAGAAAATAACTATAAATTGTAGGTTGGCTCTAAGCAACCTTTCTGTAAATAAAACTAAATTCTAATTATACCTGAGAACTCTGTATTCTGCTTCAGATCTTCCAGAACCTCTGGTTTTAATTTACTATTTTGTTTTCCCATTTTGCTGTCTGTTTATATTTCGGAAAGGACGTTAAAATATTACACAACCTGCTTGCTTTTAGTGAGTAGAGAAATCTTGTGCCCTAAAACATAAAAAGTATGTAGTAGTTGCTGAAAAAATAAATTTAAACAAACATATGCATAAGTTTTGTAACAAAACTGCACGAACTCACTGAACCAAAACCAATTTCTTACTAGAAAAGCTGTAAAACAACTTCAGCACAAGCGTATCGCGATATATTATGTGAAATCAATCAGTTTTATAAAATTTAACAAAAGATATTAAAAGGACTTCAAAGCCTTATAAAACCCCGGCTACGAAGGCTTTATGTCGTTTTCATTACGAGTACAGACGTTCTATGGCAAAATGCATGTCATGACTGGAATAGATTAAATATGGAAGAGATCGATGGATACAATAATACGGAATAGACTCTATAGTAATATTAATATCAAAAAGATGAGCATATCATGTGTGCTTTAAAATAGCTCAGCCGGATCGATTACATCCACGTGTCGGTTCAACTATGCGAGTTATTTTAACACGGACAGCTGAATACGATTTGATAGAAGAGAAGTATGTAATAACAACATAGTTCAAATAGTGATCACGAACTTTCCTCGAAGCGAAAGCAGAACTTTTCAATATCAAAGAATCAATTTCAGTGGAATGATGCAATTTTATTACAATTTATTATTGTAAATATATTTAGTTCCTTTATTTACAAACGCTATGAAAATAATAATACAGCAGCTTTGTCTGATACAAAAATAGAAATGTGGCAAAGCTTGAATGGTGAGTTAATTGAATTTGTAATAACGCGTGTAAATAAAGTCTACAAAAAGTTAAAGAGAAAAGTCTGACCTTCTGTTCCCTTTGTAAATTGCTATTTAACTTTGTAATCATGAATAAAATGCAATAATAAATAAAAATAAAATAATAATCATAGCGAATGCACACGACACAATAGTTTATTCATATTTCGTCAAAATCATGTACCAGCCCTTGCACTAAAATACTTGAACTATATAACACAGTATATATGTACGAGTGTATATTGGTAGGCACACAAATAAATTGGGAGAAATACCTATATTATGTTTGTATGTGTGCGAACTGCAGGTGGGAGGTCAGTTTGATGGTATGAGTGATAAAGGGTGGAAAACGGGGGGAGATTAAGCTAGCATTTTGGGAGGGGGGGAATGATTGAATTTAATTTGTATGCCTGCATTTAACTGTGATTTTCCAGAGAATTCTGAGCTCTGTATATTTATTCTCAACATTACACATTGAAAGGGATTTTGAGTTCTCTGAAATCCGTGACGAGTAGGCGTGGCTAATGCAGGGGCGATTGCGCAGGCGCAATTTCCAAGAATTATTAGTGAATGTGATTGATAGAAACCATCATTCAGTTTGGGGCGTGTTCTCGGAATAGGAGGGGCAAGAGGTATTGTGTGCTTTTAGTGTCCATGTAGTTAACGTAAATACAATTTTATTGAAGTGAGTGTGCCATCACAAGTGTGTGAGGCGTGATTCTGTGTGTTTGAATATACGTTATTCGTTTTGTGAGTGTGGGTGTTCATGAGAGCTTATGTAGGCGTGCTTTTATCCGTGTGTGTGTGTGTGTGTGTGTGTGTGTGTGTGTGTGTGTGTGTGTGTGTGTGTGTGTGTGTGTGTGTGTGTGTGTGTGTGTGTGTGTGTGTGTGTGTGTGTGTGTGTGTGTGTGTGTGTGTGTGTGTGTGTGTGTGTGTGTGTGTGTGTGTGTGTGTGTCAGGCTGCTTTGAAGTGAGCGTGGATGTATTTAACTGCGCTTTTAATTGTGTGTATGCGTGAGAATATAAATTCTATGTATTTGTAATGTACAGTTCCAACTTTATATTAGAGCTATATGTATGTGTGCAGGAAATTCAAGGATGCCACTTATTTGAAGTATGTTTTTTTTGTGGTGATGTGAACTTCATTATTCTATATTAATCATAGTAATGTATATTCCGTCATGTTGGCTAAGGGTCTTTACGATCTTTGGTAGGTCCAGATCAGTTCGACGGATTCTCAAATTTATCACTCCATCAAAAAATAAAATAAAAAATAAAATTAAAATCGGGGTGATTGAGTTAGTAACAACTATTTTTTATGATTTTTATTGAATTTAATGAAATCATACCCACCTCATTATAATAAAGAACTGACTACATGATTTTGATACCTACTAATATTATAATTATAATTAGTATAATATAATTAAACTATGTTGTCGTGCACACTACAATAACGAGACAAATAAATTATGAACTAATTGTTTTATAATTATTTTTATCATATACATGAATAGGCAAAATGTGAATTCATTAAAATATTATGTATTCTTAGTAATACAACAGATTTAAATGGGACACATTGTGGATACTTTGATTTAGTACATAATATGTTGGTAAAATTTAAATTAAGAAAAATAACTAAGTCTGCATTACTTTACTGAGACTTCAAGACGTAAAGCGGGGTCCACACAGGTATCTGAAAAGTTCTTTTACTCTGAGCGAATAATTTGTGCGAACGTTTGCTGACCTAGCACAAATTATTTGGTGTTAGACCATTCTATAGCGCCACCGCGTGTAACCACCGCTTAGGTACAGTTTTGTCAAGACAGAAACTTTAAAACGTTCCAATGATCGTATTTTAATACAAAGATTTACAAACTAAATGCAAATACATTGAATATAAAGTAGCTGCACTTAAGGAGAATTATACAAGTAAATCTGGTTTGTGCGACTATCGTAGATAGTTACAATAATATCTTAAAAAATAGATTACACTAAAATATATATTACATAAATTATATAGCGTAAATAAAGGAATATATTTGAAGCTTATTACTAAAGAGTACGTTAACAAAATAGATTTCAAAAAGGTAACTACTCTGTTGTTTTTTTTTTCTTTCATAACTATGCGAACTGCCATTTGCCTTTGGAAGCAGCTGTTGATACTTGAGTACTAATTGAGTAAAATTCGATGCTTGTTTGCATTAACTTGTAATTACCAGGGGCAACTCGGCATTTCGCTTACACACTTAACATAACACCAATTACATATATTTTTTTATATATTTTTATTTACCTAATATTTTTACTAAATAGACAATTAATTCATTGTAATGTCCGCTAATTATATAAATCACATGTTGGTTACAGTTAGGTTTGCCAGGTCAAAACAGAGTAGTCACACACTTCCACAGATTGAGATTACATATTTGAGACCAATAAGAAAGTATTCACTTATGTCCTAACCAATATTCAAGTATAAAAATGGGCGATTATGTGCAAAGAGAACCAATTGTCTCACTACGAGATTTTAAACGAAGCTGCCAGTGGCGTCCTCACTCGGTTGTTTCTGATAACTGTAGTTGCCAATGTTCGCCCTAGATTTAAAATGTAATCAAAATTATATGGCACAAATTCATGGCAAATTTTAAGAACTGAAACCACAAGCGAACACAATAAATCCACATTGACTTTACGATTCTATAATTGAAATATTTTTAAATCCTATGATAAAAGTTACTATACGTGGTGCGGTAGACGTGCATACATAAAGATTTGTTTCGCAGTGAAGTGATCGAGTCAAGTAGTAAGAGATAAAGTTTGGACAATAGGGTAGCACATAGACTGCCAATGGGTGGCAGAGCCTAGCTAACCGTAACTATAAAGATCAGTAGCAACTGACTCATAGGCCTGGGTCGCGTATAATTAACTTTCTCAATTAAACTTTTATGAATATAATAATTGACTAAATATATTGAATTTAAGTTGTAACCGTCCTGTTTGGGATATGTACACTGGCATTGTTGTACGTTGTACGTGTAACTAAATAATTGCCTGTAAGTGAGACAGAGTACGTTACGCCTAGGGCGATATTTCTAGGAAATGGTCATTCTTTCCAATTAAATTTTATTTAAACTTCTATATTTCCAATCGAAAATCTTTTTTTCTGATATGTCACACAACACCCTGTCTGCGAAGCTACTTTCAGGTCCGAGATGAGAATTATTGATCCTTCTTCTTCTATTTTTGTATAAAATTCAGTCAATGATCGTGTTTAAACTTTCCTCTAATGTGACGTACTTCGTCGTGGCAACAAGGAGAATCGCATTATATATATCCAATTGTCTTTGAACTGAGAACTGAATGAAATAATTGGAAAATACTATAAATAGAGAGTTAGTAACAAAAATAAAGTAATTCAATTTACAATTTACCCATAAAACCATCAATATTATACAAATCATACAAGGTTTATAATGAAATAATCGTACATCAAAATATAAGTAAAAACTTAACGACTACAGTGTACTGCTTTATCACATGGAATGTTTACAACAAATTAATACAAGGATGTTAGCTTCCAGTGCACATGACTATGGAAATGGTCAATATGAGCTCATTACAGAAACATGCACAACCGCTTGCATCTCTCGATACTGACTGGTATTATAGGAAAGTGTTTTGACACTTTATTCTGACTACGAATAAAATGTTAAAATTCAACTTGCTATAAAATGGACTGTATACGATGCGACCTGATGTGATAAGGAAGCGGAGATTCCCACGAGAGTACTGCACGATTTTGGAATAAAATATGTACGAAGACAATCTAATGCGGTGATTGCGGTATGTCGCACGGCTGTCGACTTGAGATTTGCAGTTCAATTTGAAATCACCGCAAAATCGAGCAAGCGCCGTCGACGGCCGCGCTTCAGCACACCTATTGCCGACGACACGGGGGAATACATTTCAACACAGACCTAACAAATATAAAAATAGTTACGAATTTGATTCCAGCCAACGTTGCGTTGTGCCTGATTACATAATTGTGCGTTATTTGCGCGCTGTCTGTTTACTTATACATACACTATCTAAATAATCTTACTTTATGCACTGAAAACTATTGAAGAAAACAACACAGCTTAAATAGTTAAGTTTAAATTAAATAATAATATCGCGACCCTTTCGACTGTGTGCGGTCAGTGGCTATTGGTGAAGACTGCGACGAAGTAAGAAAATACAACTCTTAAATTAACTATAACAC